CTGTAACCTCCACCTGCTAGGTTCAAGCGATTCTCATGCCTCAGCCTCCTGAGTAGCTGGATTACAAGCACCCACCACCATGCCCAGCTAATTTTTGTATTTTTAGCAGAAATGGGTTTCACCATGTTGGCCAGGCTGGTTTCCAACTCCTGACCTCAAGTGATCCACCCACTTCAGCCTCCCAAAGTGCTGGGATTACAGGCATGAGCCACTGCTCCAGGCCTTAAAGTATTTGAAATGAATGTTTGCTTTTTTTCTTAGGTGATATAACTCAGTAGTAGTCATCTCAATTTGTGGGTGGAAATAAAAAGATCATTCTCGTTTATATAGAATCTCACATTTACCCACAGCCAACCTGCCCCCTCTTTTGGAAAACAGGAGAAAAATATCCAAGAAAGGGATCTCTGATTGAAATAAAGAAGAGGATCAGCAGTATCAATGAGAAGACTTCTAGGAGAGTGCTGCTGAAGGGGGTGCATTATGCTCTGAAAGCCGTTTGGGCGCTGAACACTTATGTGATAGGGGCACAGGGCAAAAGGACATTGGAACAAGAAATTCAGAGGTCATGGTGAGACTGTTCTCACTCTGACTTGAATCTGAAATCTTGACTAATGAGAAGTTTGAGATGGGGGCTAGGGAGCTCGGACCCTCCAGAGGAAGACTGGCTTGACCCGGGGTTAACCCAGAGACTCCTTGCTCTGCTAGGCCGCTGCTGTCCCCACCCTCACATCTGTCCTTGCCTGCTTCTTCCAGGAAGTCTCCTGTGCTCACAAACATAGCTCAAGTCCTGAAGCCCATCCAGGGGGTTTGAGCCTCCCCTTCCCACGGTCAGATCGCTTTCCTGCCTGAATTACTTGAGATGCCACTGCGAGGGCCAGAGTGCCTTCACACTCTTTCAGACTTGAGAACCTTCCCTGAAACTTCGGTTGTGACCCTCTGCCCCTGGGTGCACGGGATTGATATCCTGAGTGCAACTGGGATCTTGTAGGTGCCCTTAGAGCATCAGGGCCTTATTAGAAATGAGGGTAGGGAGAGATGTGGGTGGAGTAGATTCTGAGTGTGGCAAAGATGGGTTAGAAGCAGTTGTCATCATTAATATTCTCTGAGGTTAAGTGACAGAATGCTGGCACACTTGACACTCCCAGTGAACAGGCAGAAATATGAGTGTGATCAAGGGAAGTGGAAAGGAACAGGAGAATAACATCAGGTCACAGTCACCTTTCTTTTTTTTTGAGACAAAGTGTCGCTTTGTCATCCAGGCTGGAGTGCAGGGGCGTGATCTGGGCTCACTGCAACCTCGGCTTCCCGGGTTCCAGTGATTTTCTGGCTTCACCCTCTGAGTAGCTGGGATTATAGGCCCAAGACACCATGCCTGGCCAATTTTTGTATTTTTGGTAGTGACAGGGTTTCACCATGTTGGCCAGGCTGGTCTCAAACTCCTGACCTCAGATAGTCACCTCCTTTCAAAATAATATTTTTTTGGTGTGGTATGCAAAGATTTTTTGCTACAAATCCAGATACCTATGATAAAACTATACCCAGAAAGCCTTTAAGAATGGTTTAGGCCAGGCACAGTGGCTCACACCTGTAATCCCAGCACTTTGGGAGGCTGAGGCAGGTGGATTGCTTGAGGTCAGGAGTTTGAGACCAGCTTGGCCAACATGGTGAAACCCCATCTCCTAAAAAAAAAAGACAGAATGGTTTATTAGGGTGGGCGCAGTTGCTCACACCTGTAATCCCAGCACTTTGGGAGGCTGAGTTGGGCAGATGACAAGGTTAGCCTGGCTAACATAGTGAAACCCTGTCTCTACTAAAAACACAAAAAAATTAGCCAGATGTGCGGGCAGGCACCTGTAATCTGAGCTACTTAGGAGGCTGAAGCAAGGAGAATCCCTTGAACCTGGGAGGCAGAGGTTGTAGTAAGCTAAGATCATGCCACTGCACTCCAGCCTGGGCGACAGTGCGAGACTCTGTCTCAAAAAAAAGAATGGTGTATTAAATCATATCCTTGCTCTCTTGAGAAAGGATATGTAAAATGTAACAACATACCGTGAATAATAATTAGAAATAAAGGAATAAAATGGAGTCAGGAACGTGACTACAAAAGCCTACCATAATTACTAGGCATGACCCGGCTGGCTGCAGATTTAACTTTGGGCTTATCAGTAAACAACTGAGAGTGAGAACTGTGGCTGGTTATACAATTCACAGAGTTGATAACACTGAAAGGCCAGTGGCCCAAAAGAAGTACAACCATTCCTGGAACTAAGACCAGAAAAATTCTTTGGAGAGCCTTCCGGTAAAAGGGTGAAATGTTGAATAATGTGCTCAACTATATTCTTAGAGGAGATTCAGTGACAAGCTGCTTCTAACAGCATCTCTCGGTCTGGCAGTTCTGGGACAGGGTGGGTAGAGGTGGTGGTGGTTTCTCTGAAGTATCAGTCTGTGTCCATAACTTTGAAGAAACACAGACTTACTGCCAGTTTAGAACATGTCAATGTTTTAGTGAGGAAAAAATATAAAATTATATAGTCTAATTTCTAGTAGAAGGAGAAGGCCCTGCCTTCGAAGCCCTAATATCACTGATTCCCTGCCAGCACACACTCACACACACACACTAAACTGAAAATTTAGCCCCTCTCTAAATTTTCAATCCATAGCTTGGCTGAATGAAGAAAATGTTAAAATGTAATACGGGAGCCACCAATGAAGGAAATGAGGACCTGAGACTAGTCCATAAATTGAAATTAAAAAATTATTTAGGCCGGGCACGGTGGCTCAAGCCTGTAATCCCAGCACTTTGGGAGGCCGAGGCGGGTGGATCACGAGGTTAAGAGATCGAGACCATCCTGGCCAACGTGGTGAAACCCCGTCTCTACTAAAAATACAAAAATTAGCTGGGCGTGGTGGCGCGTGCCTGTAGTCCCAGCTACTAGGGAGGCTGAGGCAGAAGAATTGCTTGAACCCGGACGCAGAGGTTGCAGTGAGCCGAGATTGTGCCACTGCACTCCAGCCTGGCGCCTATTGACAAAGTGAGACTCTGTCTCAAAATATATATATATATATATTCTTAAATAATGGTAGAGCCAGATTTTATGTGAAGCCTGAAGCTTATATAATTTTAGGCACTCTCTTTAAGGAAAAGAACATATAGTTGTAAACATAAAAGATGGGATGAAAATAAATATATGGAAAGAGGAAATAAATCACAACAAATTACCGAAGCCACAGAGATCTACGTCCTTTTCTTCTGAGATTAAACACTTTACCAGAAATACTTACAGAGAAACACTTCCTGATTGTAATCCACCCTCCCTTTCTCACCAGGAACTAACCCCGAGCATTATCGGGGGCCTATGCAAGTGAGGCCCCCCACCCAAGCTCAAGTTTCATTAATCATGGCTATGTTGAAAATCGCCTCAATTCCCATCACTACGTCCATCATCTTTTCCTAGAAGACTAAGTATCTTCCTTCTCCTGACACTGCACATTTTGAACTGTTGTTGACAAGACCCCAAAGAAATCAATGCCTTTATTTCTTTGAAAATGACTTCATATCCATCTGCAATTAAAGACTTAAACATAAGACCTAACACCATAAAAAGCCTAAAAGAAAACCTAGGCAAAAACATTCAGGACATAGGCATAGGCAAGGACTTCATGACTAAAACACCAAAAGCATTGGCAACAAAAGCCAAAATAGACAAATGGGATCTAATTAAACTCCAGAGCTCTGCACAGTAAAAGACACAATCATTAGAGTGAACTGGCAACCAACAGAATGGGAAAAAATTTTGCAATCTACCCATCTGACAAAGGGTTAATATCCAGAATCTACAAAGAACTAAAACAGATTTACAAGAAAATAACAAACAAACCCATGCAAAAGTGGGTGAAGGATATGAACAGACACTTTACAAAAGAAGACATACACGAGGCCAACAAATATATAAAAAAATGGTCATCATCACTGGTCATTAGAGAAATGCAAATCAAAACTACATTGAGATACCATCTCACACCAGTTAGAATGGCGATTATTAAAAAATCTGGAGACAACAGATGCTGGAGAGGATGTGGAGAAATAGGAACACTTTTACACTGTTGGTGGGAGTGTAAATTAGTTCAACCATTGTGGAAGACAGTGTGGTGATTCCTCAAGGATCTAGAAATAGAAATTCCGTTTGACCCAGCAATGGCATTACTGGTTATATATCCAAAGGATTATAAATCGTTCTATTATAAAGACACATGCACACATATGTTCATTGTGGCACTGTTTATAATAGCAAAGACCTGGAACCAACCCAAATGCCCATCGATGATAGACTGGACAGGGAATATATATGACATACACACTATGGAACACTATGCAGCCATAAAAATGCAGCCATAAAAAACGATGAGTTTGTGTCCTTTGTAGGGACACGGATGAACCTGGAAACCATCATTCTCAGCAAACTGACATAAGAACAGAAAATCAAACACTGCATATTCTCACTCATAGGCAGGTGTTGAACAATAAGAACTCATGGACACAGGGAGGGGAGCATCACACACTGAGGTCTGTTGTGGGGAGCTAGGGGAGGGACAGTGGGGGGTCGGCAGTTGGGGAGGGATAACATGGGGAGAAATGCCAGCTATAGATGATGGGGATGGAGGCAGCAAACTACATTTCCATGTATGTACCTATGCAACAATCCTGCATGTTCTTTACATGTACCCCAGAACCTAAAGTGCAATAAAATATATATATTAAAAAAAAACAGAAAATGACTTCATATCCATCTGGAAGAAATAATAGCTCTCAGTCTCATTCTTTTTAAAGTGATCATGTGTCTGCATTCAGCACGCAGGGCTCTAAATTTGGGTATCCTTGGCTGTCACGTGACAGAATTTCCCTGGAAGTGTTTTGGGTCTAAACGGGAGGAATATGAGATTTGCTCTATTTTGTAAGGCAAACAGCAGGAAGTTGAGAAAGTCTGATAAATCTGAATGCATTTTCTGTACCATCTTGTCCTCTATTCAAGTCAATTTTATTTTTTCTTCTTGGGATGAGGAGGCATAATCAGGTTTCCACTGACAAGCTGTGAAAATGTTGACTTGAGTTTTGTAACGAAGTTGAAAGCGGAAAAGCCAGATGGAAAAAAACAATCTCCAACCTGAAAAGTAAAAAGCAAAATGCACTTCTAGAAAAATATTGCATGTGACTTGGAGAAAAATTAGAATAGGATCTGCCTATTTTAAAATGAAACCTCAAGCATGTGGTTTAGGCTTAGGGTGTTTCCTCTTTTTTTCTTGTAATTTTACTCCGAGATTTCAGCAGTGTTGGCGTATTTGCCACACAATAGGTTTCCTGTAGTGGGAGGAAAGAGTCATAGGTTGAGTTTATATGAAAGAAGACAAGGGCCGCTGATGACTGTTTAACACATAATGTAAAATGATCAGATTTTTAATAAGTAAAATACCAGTTGAACACAGGAAGATTCCCAATACGCTATGGTGCCTTGTAGTAACTGAGTCCTTGCAGCTGCTTTCTGGCAGTGATTCCCTCCCAGACCCCCAAAAGGTTGTACGTGCTGGGGAACCAGACACATGTGAATGCCCAGTAGGGACAGGGCTGATCCAGGGCTGGGAGGCAGCGCCTGGGATCCTCAGGGCTGGTTTAATCTTCTGAACCATGTGTCTCTGGGGAAACATTTTAGAATTGACATCTTTGCTTGAGAAACTACAGAGCTGCTGATAAGAACATAGCAAGCTTATCCACAAATGTGTTTTTTATAGGAAACTGTGTAGGAAAAAAATGGGGAGCAATATACAAGAAGGAAAGGAAAGCAAACATGTTCAGATCCAATGTAGGGAGAAGAAACATTTGCTAATTGTTTTGAGGCATACTACTACACTGAACTCTCAGTAACTCAGAATAGTCTCAAAGAGATCTGATCTGATTTAAAATGTAAACTAGACAATAATTTTTTTTTTTGTTTTGAGACGGAGTTTCGCTCTTGTTACCCAGGCTGGAGTGCAATGGCGTGATCTCAGCTCACCGCAACCTCCGCCTCCTGGGCTCAGGCAATTCTTCTGTCTCAGCCTCCTGAGTAGCTGGGATTACAGGTACACGCCACCATGCCCAGCTAATTTTTTTCTTTTTTTTAGTAGAGACAAGGTTTCACCATGTTGACCAGGATGGTCTTGATCTCTTGACCTCGTGATCCACCCACCTCGGCCTCCCAAAGTGCTGGGATTACAGGCGTGAGCCACCGCGCCCAGCGACAATAATGTTAAAGTAAATATAAATTTATTATTTTAAAGCATATTCCTTTAACAGTTAAATAGCTGAGAAAACAAGTAGAAATCCTCTTGGGATTGCTTGAATGCCTAAAGGAAACAAATTGTAATGAGGTCAATTAATTGTTTTTTGTCTAAATAGATGCTGCTAAAATTACTTTAAGTATTTGAAGACTTTGTTTCCTTAAGAAGCTAAACATGATTTCAGCATTTACTCTGAAAATCTTATTTTTCAAAATGTTACTTTGGCAGATTTTGGCTTTCTACTGAAATTATTCTGTACTCTTAGCAAGGTGAGAAAGAATGCGGTCTTATTCCATGAGAGATGGATTAGTATACTGCAGCCATACATGTACTAGGTATGTGCTAGGCTCTGTACTCCGTACTGATCTTTTTTTCTGCTTTCTTTTCCTTTGAGATGGAGTCTCCCTCTGTTGTCCAGGCAGGAGTGCAGTGGCACCATCTCGGCTTACTGCAATTTCTGCCTCCCAGGTTCAAGTGATTCTCCTGCCTCCCGAGTAGCTGGAATTACACTGTGCCTCCTACTATGCCTGGCTAATTTTTTTGTATTTTTAGTAGAGACAGTTTTTCACTGTATTAGCCAGGCTGGTCTCACACTCCTGACCGCAAGTGATCAGCCCGCCTCAGCCTCCCAAAGTGCTGGAATTACAGGCATGAGCCACTGCACCTGTCCTGGATTTCTATTTGCGTTTGTTTTTTTGGATGTTTTTTGAGATTAAATTTTTTTTGAATTGGTAATCTCCACCCAGTAAAACATTTAAAAGAAATTGAAGGGCATGAGGTGAGATGTACATAAAGCAAGTCTCCTTTCCATTCTTGCTCCCTAATCTTTTTCCCCAGAGTCCCCCACAGCTCATCAGTTTTTCATGTGTGCCTTCTAAGATATTGTGCTGAACATTTAAGATATCTCATTTAATCCCATGTCGTAATTGACTACATATTGTCATCTTCATTTAACAGATGAGGAAACTGAAGCACATACTTGCCCCAGATCACAAAGAAATAAGAGAACCAGGATCAGAGCCCATGCCAGGGCAGCACTGCTTTACATCCTCCACATTATCTTCACTCCAGATGGCCACAAAGACTGGTCTCTACTTTCTTGTCCGCACCCGTCTTCTTGTTTAAATTCCACTCATGCTTTAAGGCCTCATTTAGAATAATGATAGCATTTACTGAGTGCTCACTACGTGCCAGGCACTTACATACACTATCTAAATTAACTGTGTTAATTATCATCACAGCCTTTGGAGGTAAGGAATATTATTATCCCCATTTAAGGGAAGTGAAGCTGAGACTTAGAAAGCCACATAACTGTAAGTGGCAGCATAACACTGCCACGCTGGTCTGATCTGAGGCCCTAGCCTCTCAGCTCAGGCCCACTTACTCCCAAAGTTCTCCGGGGCTTGCAGTGATTTCACTTCCAGGAATAGCCTTAGCACTTCTTATCACACAATATGGTGCTATTTGCTTGCAAATTGCTCTGTATTGTTCTTTGGAAGTTTAGCCTTCTAGATTCTTCTCTTTCAACCTTACTGTCCACTCCTAGAAAGCAAAGACTCTATTTTTTTATGCTCAGTCATAATGCAACTGCAGAAATCCTACTGAAAGCTTAAAAAATAGAACAAGAAAATGGACTAATAAAAATTGAACACTTTAAACTTCTGTCTGGAATTATATCATTGGCACTTTTAGCTTCTAAAAAACCAAATATATGTGCACTAGAAAAAGCGAGAGAGGAAGAAGGCAACTTGGTGAGGTGGTACTGCCTGCCCTTGCTCTCCCAGGGCTCATGGCCTAGGGTGTATATGCACCAGGAGGCTGGTACCTGCCTTTTCTGGATGGGTCTCTATTCTGTGGGTTCAGAGTGCCTAAGTACCTGTCTCTGAGTGTGATTCTATTGCTTCAAGATGAATTTCTTTCTTTCTTTTTTGAGACAGGGTCTCACTCTGTTGCCCAGTCTGGAGTGCAGTGGTACAATCATGGCTTGCTGCAGCCTCAACCTCCTGAGCTCAAGTGTTCCTGCCACCTCAGCCTCCTGAGCTGCTGGGACCACAGACATGTGCCACCACACCTGGCTAATGTTTTTGTCTCTTAGGCTGGTCTGGAATTTCTGGTTTCATGTGATCTTCCTGCCTTGGCCTCCCAAAGTGCCAGGATTACAGGTGTGAGCCACCACGCCCTACTTCTTTTTTAAAAATACAACATTGGCTGGGCAAGGTGGCTCATGCCTGTAATCCCAACACTTTTGAGAAGCCAAGGTGGGAGGACTGCTTGAGTCCAGGGGTTCTAGACTAGCCTGAGCAATATAGTGAGACCCTGTTTCTACAAAAAAAAATTTTTTTTAATTAGCTGGGCATGGGAGTACGTGCTGGTAGTCCCGGTTTACTTAGGCGGCTGAGGCAGGAGGACTGCTTGAGTCCAGGAGTTTGAGGCTGTAGGAAGCTATGATCATGCCAATGCACTTTAGCCTGGGAGACAGAGTGAGACCCTGTCTCTAACACAATAACAACAACAACACAGGGCAAGCAGGACGTGGAAGTAGGTTCATATGCTGGAAGAAACTCTGACTCTGTATCTTACTTTAGAAATTAAAGGGATTTAAAAATTGCACATACACATTTTCTTTTTTTTTTTTTTTGAGATGGAGTTTCACTCTTGTTACCCAGGCTGGAGTGCAATGGTGTTGTTGTATCGGACCGAGCACAGAAAGTCAACACCAAGACAAAAGTATGCCAAATTGCAGGGTTTATTGCCGGCGACCACGGGGGACTCACGTCTCTCCAACCCGTGGCAGAGAAAGAAGGGTGACAAGACCTTTTTATACCTGCAAAACCACTTTGGGAGTGGGGGTGAGGGGCAGAGATGGGGATGAAAGACTGTAAATCACCTCCTAGGCTGAGACGAGGGTGAGGGGGCTCCGGACATTCCAAGGGCCAGGGGACTTTTGTCATTTCAATTGCTACTTAAGTGGTTTACAGAGGTTAAGATAAACATTAGTTTATACATTATTTGGACAGGTGTGGGGTCCACAGATTTTTCAGTTGCTTGGTGCCAGGAGGGAATTATCTGGGGGTGCTTACTCTGGTCAGTACCGGTAAACAACGGCCAGCAATTCTGATAGTTACAGATAAGAGAAGGCATGCAGCTTTACCTCTAAACTCAGCAGTTTACAGAAGCCAAGGTTAACAGCCATTGTGAGGAGAATGGAAACAGTTTTGTCTCTTTTATAAAATGGCAGTGTACAGGTTCTAACTCTAGGCTAGCTATATCATAGTGGGGTCTTGGCTCACCACAACCTCCGCCTCCTGGGTTCAAGCAATTCTCCTGCCTCAGCCTCCTGAGTAGCTGGGACTACAGGTGCACACCACCATGCCCAGCTAATTTTTGTATTTTTAGTAGAGATGGGGTTTCACCATGTTGACCAGGATGGTCTTGATCTCCTGACTTAGCGATCCACCCGCCTCGGCCTCCCAAAGTGCTGGGATTATTGGCGTGTGCCACCGCACCCGGCCGTGCATACACATTTTCTACCTTTGGGACCTAACCCAATCTAAGGTGGCTATATTGTACTTAAAGTTGAAGGCTTGTCCCTAGCCAGAAAAACTTCAGATCTCTTTAGCTCACACTCCAACATTGGGAAAATAAACTTGGAAAGTATTTTCCTTAGCAAAGAAAGATCTCGGTGTGAAATGACGTTCATTTGGTTTTGTTTTGTTTTTTTTCTCAATCATCAGTCTCCAGTGCCAACGTCTCAATTTGCAGATTAACTGTAATTACAGGTGTGGCCTCTCCTTAGGAGAAACAGCAACATGCTCTCTGATGGATCAATGTAGCATAAACTGTGAAGTAAAAGGGACTCCATGCTGGGTGGAAGGTTGGACTAGAAGTTCTCCAAGTTTCCTCTCCAACCTCTCCGAGGTAGTATTCCAACAGTGCTAAGGCCATTGTAAAAGGTCTTCTGAGTTTTATGGCCTCTTTTTTCCTTTAACCAAGCACATTAGATGATCTCCAGATGTCTCTATTATTCCTTTTGGAAGCAGTGAGTTTCTGGATCATTAGCTGGGCTGTGAGGACTGCTGCCTGGGAATTGTGAGGACATATTTAACCTGCTGATCTGGAGTAGCTCCAGTTCCTCAGTGGTCTTGCCCGCCTCTTGTTAGGTGAAAGCACTCACAGGAAGTGGATTAGTTGCATTTGAGGAGAATTAAGTGTCGTTTGAAAAATATCTGGACCTCACGCCTATAATCCTGGCACTTTGGGAGGCCAAGGTGGGCAGATCACAAGGTCAGGAGTCGGAGACCAGCCTGAGCAACGTGGTGAAATGCCGTCTCTACTAAAAATACAAAAAAGTTAGGTGGGTGTGGTGGCATGTGCCTGTAATCTCAGCTACTAAGGAAGCTGAGGCAGGAGAATTGCTTGAACCTGAGAGGCAGAGGTTGCAGTGAGCTGAGATTGCACCATTGCACACCAGCCTGGGCAGCAGAGTGAGACTCCATTGCAAAAAAAAAAAAAAAGAAGAAGAAAGAAAAATATCTGGATCCTGGGGCCCCAAGCAGGGGTTGAGGTTTACTTTGCAGTCCTTCCCTGAAAGCATAGCAGGGATCTGGAACTCAAGGCCAGGTCCTTTGGGTTAGGAAAGCGGGGTACCAGGACAGGTGACGAGATTGGCTGGGGAGCGCTACCAGCTCCTGCCTTAACCTTTGGGCCTGCCCAGCAGTCTCTGTGGCACTGTAAGGTCATCTTCACTTTGTTGTGACCTAGTTTTGGCTTTTCTGAGAAAGGGCTTAGTTGATCAGTGACCCCTACCCAGAGACCCTAAGAAAACCTGTTCTCTTCTTCTCATATTTTATGCTACTCCAGGGATGTATGAAGCTAGGTTGCCATCTCCTCTGATGACTATCTTTCAGGTAGCCCCACTTCCATGTGTTCTGTCTGCCTTTCACACTGAACTATTATCTCCTGAAGAATAAGAACTGGATTTTGCCACAGGAGGTGGCTCATGCTCATGCTTGTAATGCCAGCACTTTGGGATGCTGAAGGAGGACTGGTTGAGGCGAGAAGTTCAAAACTAGCCTAGGTAATAAAGTGAGACCTTGCCTCTACAAAACAAGTTAAAGAATCAGTGGAATGTGCTGGTGCGCACCTTTAATCCTGGCTACTTGAGAGGCTGAGGTGGGAGAATTGCTTGAGCCCAGGAATCCATGAGCCAATATCCAGCCTGGGCGACAGTGAAAACATGTCTCCAAAAAACAAAACAGGCTGGCACAGTGGCTCACGCCTGTAATCCTAGCACTTTGGGAGGCTGAGGCGGGTGGATCACGAAGTCAAGAGACCGAGACCATCCTGGCCAACATGGTGAAACCCGTGTCTACTAAAAATACAAAAATTAGCTGGGTGTGGTGGCACGTACCTGTAATTCCAGCTACTCCGGAGGCTGAGGCAAGGGAATGGCTTGAACCTGGGAGGCGGAGCTTGCGGTGAGCCGAGATCACACCACTGCACTCCAGACTGGCAACAGAGCGAGACTCTGTCTCTTAAAAACAAAAACAAAAACAAAACAAAACAACTTGGATTTTATTCATCCCTCCATTCTTGGCTCTGAGCCTGGCCCGTAGGCCTGTAAATTGGTGTCAGGGATCTGCTGGGGAAACTGCATGGGAACTTTTCCCATCTTCCTATACTGTCCTTGACTTTTTTTGTTTATTTGTAACTTTTTTTTTTTTTAAGACAGGGTTTCACCATGTTGGTCAGGCTGGTCTTGAACTCCCGACCTCAGGTAATCCATCCGTCTGGGCCTCCAAAGTGCTTGGATTACAGGTGTGAGCCACCACGCCCGGCCTATTTGTAACTTTTTAAATTGCACATTTTCAAATAAACATAAAGTATAGAGAATAGTATAATGAACACTCCTTTATCCAGATTTACCTTACTGCTACACCTTGCCATATTTACTTCGTCTGTTCTTTTTGCTCAAATATTTAAAAGTTAATTTCAGATATAATGATATTTTACCCCCAAATACTCATATATGGATCTCTAAGGATGTCTCCCCCACAGAACCATAATACTGTATTCTATATTATTATCATATATTATCACACCTAATAAAATAAATAATAGTTCCTGGCCTGGGCAACATGGCAAAACCCTGTCTCTACAAAATATAAAAAATTAGCTGGGTGTGGTGGTAAGCGCCTATAGTCCCAGCTACTTGTGGGGCTGAGCCAGGAGGATCGCTTGAACCTGGGAGGTCAAGGCTGCAGTGACTCATGACGGCACCACTGCACTCCAGCCTGGGCGACAGAGCAAGACCTTGTTCCAAAAAAGAAAATAAATAAATAAAAGTAATGGTTCCTGGCTGGGCACACTGGCTTATGCCTGTAATCCCAGTACTTGGGGAGGCCAAGGCAGGTGGATCACTTGAGCTCAGGAGTTCAAGACCAGCCTAGGCAACAGTGAAACGCTTTCTCTATTAAAAATACAAATATTAGCCAGCTGTGGTGGCGCACACCTATAGTCCCAGCTACTCTGGTGGCTGAGGCAGGAGAACTGCTTGAACCTGAGAAGCCGAGGTTGCAGTGGGCCATAATCATGCCACTGCATTCCAGCTTGGGTGACAGAAAGAGACCATGTCTCAAAACTAACAACAAAAAAGTTCCGAAATATCAAGTGCCCTCAGCAGGTCTTTTATAACTGGTGTATTCAAACCAGAAGCTTCTCAGGGCCACACATTGCATTTTATTGTTTTGACTCTAGTTTTTCTTCCCCTTTTCCCCCATGTTATGTTATCGACTTGTTGAAGAAATCAGGCCAGTACTTTCGAAAGTCCCATTTTCATGGTGTTATTTAAACTTCACCAGACTTCCAAAATAGAGCTGACTTAAGGATATATCGTAGCCACCACTGTGGGAGTCTCCTCCACTTTAGAAACCCTCCATTTCTATCCTTCTCTTTGCCTCCATCATCCAGGAGCAAATCCCCAGGGCCCTGAGACCTAGGGCTAAAGGCTCATCTATCCTGAGCTCTCTCATCTTTTGCTTGGAGGTCCATTTCCTGGCCTTGCAGTCAGCTGGTCTGAGCCTTCCAATAAAACAGGGCCTGGACAGCTCTCCCTACAGCTGCCTGCAACAACCTCAGGAAGCCCCAGGTCCTTTACTTATGCTGCTGAGAAAGCCTTGGAACTTGGGGCTCAAGGGCTTCCTTACGGGTAGCAGCAAACAGCAGCCCCCATTTTTCAAAATGAAATTAAAACCCTCTGCTCCTGACTCAATACATCTCTTAAATTCATCCCAGAAAAACAACCTGTTTTCCAAGTGAAGTTAAGACTCAACAGCACCTCCCCGATCCTGTTACCCCAGTACTGATGATCTCCAGGCAGACACATCACACCAGTGGCTGCTCCTGCCAGTAAAAAGAAAGAAGTTTCCATTGATTTGCTTGAGAAATGTAAAGGTTTGGGGCCATAGTCTCTGCCACAAGGTCAATAGAGAATTGTCTTGCCTGAAGTGCCCCAGGAAATCAGCCAGGAAAAGCAACAATCTACTTTGTTTCTTAGGTAAGGGAGGGGGTGGGAAGCTGCAGCAGGGAGAGAATGGAGGAAGGGAAGGTTCGGATAGCTGTGTGTTTAGATCAGAGGCCTTGAGCTAAGGTCAGCAAGAAAACATGAACATTCCAGGCACAAAGAGGAGTGGAGTTACGACATCAGGGGTGTGGGCTGGACAGCTTCCTCCAGCTTGACATGAGTGTCTGGCTGTTGACTTTGGCTCACTGGATTTCTTTCTTTCTTTCTTTCTTTTTTTTTTTTGAGACAGAGTCTTGTTCTGTCTCCCAGCCTGGAGTGCTCAGCTCACTGCAACCTCCACCTCCTGAGTTCAAGCGACTCTCTTGCCTCAGTTTCCCAGTAGCTGGGATTACAGGTGTGCACTGCCATGTCCAGCTAATTTTTGTACTTTTAGTAGAGATGGAATTTCACCATGTTGGCCAGGCTGGTCTCGAACTCCTGGCCTCAAGTGATCCACCCCTCTCAGCCTCCCAAGTGCTGGGATGATAGGTATGAACCACTGCACCTGGCCTGGATTTCTATTTGTGTCTATTTATTTATTTTTTTGGAAACGGTCTCACTCTATTGCTCAGGCTGGAGTGCAGTGGCGTGATCTCAGCTCACTGCAACCTACGCCTCCCGGGTTCAAGCAATTCTCCTGCCTCAGCCTCCCAAGTAGCTGGGATTACAGCCACTTGCCACTATGCCCAGCGAATTGTATTTTAGTAGAGACAGAGTTTCACCATGTTGATCAGGTTGGGTGTCTATAATAATTTTTATAAGAGAAAACTCTCCAACAGCTATGTGTCTATGGGTGGAGTAGATCACATTTTATTCTTCCTGAACATGGTAAAATGCTTCATAGGCAATTAAGGATGGAGAAGAGAGAATTTATGCTTTTAGCTAAATTCTCAATGTATGGATCAGTTAAACCTTTCCATTTTCTGGCTCTTCCTCTTAATTAATTCTGTTTCTTGTTTTTCCTTTCTGTCTGTGGCAAGGCTCCTCTTTTTGTTCCCCACACTCTTATTTTCCTACTTTTATTTCAGTGGCTGGCAAAATCAGACGGTTATTTGATTTTGAAAGAGTCACTGCAGAAGCTTAGGCAATCTTTTTCTCCAGAGTGTTGAATAAGGTGGGTCTGAGCCTGTCCTTTTTGGAGCAGCTTAGAGAAGGTGTGTGTGCATATGTGTGTGAGTAGAGGAGGGGGTGAGGGGTCAGGTGACCTCCCAAGGCACCCTCTCCTTGTGGGACACAAAAACCCAATCCCCAGAGTGGGGGCAGAAGGCCAGGAGTGGGAGAAGTGTCTCTGTTTGCTCCCTAAGACCTGGTGGTTGGGGCATTTTGGCGAATAGCTTGGCCACTACTTTATTATATGGTTAGTTTGGAAAGCAGATTGCTGGGAATGGCAATGAAAGACTGAACTTACACTTTTTTTTTTTTTTAAAGAGATGAGGTTTTGCAGTGTTGCCCAGGCTGGAGAGCAGTGGTTATTCACAGGTACAGTCATAGCATGCTACAGCCTTGAACTCCTGGACTCAAGCAATCCTTCCACCTCAGCCTCCTGGGTAGCTGGACTATAGGCACGCCCCACCTTGCCTGTCTCAGAACCTATGCTCTTGAAAACTGCTTTTAAGTGGAGGCCCTCTGAATGCACACTCTGGGATAGGGTCACAGTCACTTGTGCATATAGCAGTACTTACGGCATTTGGAGTCTTCTGAGAGGAGTGAAAATTCCCCTTCCTGGGGAAAGCCACAGTGGAAAAGGAACCAGGGAGTCTGTGAAACATCTTTAGGTTTCTGCAAGTATATTATGAAGCTCACTAAGTAACAGGGAATCATCACTTGTGCTTTATAGCTCATTAGTGGTCTATTGAAGTCAATGAATACTGAAAGAATTACAAAACAAACACAGAATTGATAAAGTGAGAGAGAAAGCAGGGCAACTAGTTAGCATCTTCAAGTTCTGGATGACCTGCAGGCTTCAGGAAACTGACAAGAGTCTAAGAGTAGATGGTGCTGGGTCTACGGACTTCTGTCTTTAGGTTCTTTTCCTCTTTTCCTTTACCTCTGCTTCTCTGAGGTCAGCACCCACTTCTATCATCCTGTCCCAGGGCCACCAGATCTCCTTGAGATTCAGAAAACCCTCCTCTCACTGTCCTTTCCCAACGTTTCAATGAATGAGGACACACTGAGTACACAGCGATCAAACCTGCGATCCAGGTGGCACTCGGAATTCAGCAGTAGCAGCGGTGGTTCCCACAGTGCTCACTGGACCTTGGCCAAGATACCACCTGGAACCACAGCTGATGGCTGAGAGTTAAGACCTACCTATTGAAGGAAGGAAAGAACAACTTCATGACAAGTTTTGTTTTTACTCCTAAGCAAAACCACAATCAGAGATAACTGCAATTGTCAAGTTGGCACATACACTTTTTTTTTTAATCAGGGGATTTTTTCTTTTACTTTATAAGACAAAATTAAAAGCCACCAGACAGGAACTCACTCAAATTCTTGTCACAAACGTACCTGCAGAGGAATTCATTATTTCCTCCTTCCCCTCCATCATAAAGACACGTCTCATTGACAAAGCCAGTTCTGAGGCTCTAAATCTCTCTTGCAGCCTCATTGACTTTGCTGCATTGCAAGTTCCTCTCTCTCCTGGTGTTTCACTTGCTGCTGATTCATTGCCATCAGCATTTAAACAAGACCAAATGTCCTCTATCCTTAAAATCTTACCCTCCCTAGCTTCCCCACCCCTTTAATTCACTTCTTTATCTGACTTGTTTTGGTTACAGTTCACTGTGTTGAAACAGGTGTTCACACTCACCACCACTTCCTTGCCCTCCAACCTGAAACTCTCTGTGAAATCTGGCTGCTGCCCCAATATTCCTCTGACACTGGTCCAGCCAAGATCACTAACAACCTTGTTGTTCAATTTTAAGGCTGCTTTCCCAGCATTATCCGACTTGAACCCTAAGTAGCTGATACTGGTGACCATGGCCTTCTTGAAACTGTCTTCTTGCTGGGTGAGGTGGCTCATGCCTGCAATCTCAACCCTTTGGGAGGTTGTGGTGGCTAGATTGCTTGGGCTCAGGAGTTCAAGACCTGCCTGGGAAACATGGCAAAACCTTGTCTCTACAAATAATAATAATAATAATAAATTGATAAAAATTAGTCAGACATGGTGGCATGCACCTGTAGTCCCAGCTACTCGGAAGGCTGAGGTGGGAGGATCACCTGAGCCCAGGAGGCCAAGGCTACAGTGAACCGTGATTGTGCCACTGCACTCCAGCCTGGCAGCCTGGATGACAGAGTGAGGGCCTGTCTCAAAAAACAAAGGAAAACTGTCTTTCTTGGTTTGGTGACATATATCTTTTTACCACAACTTCTTAGAATCCTTTGTGGGTTATTTTTCTGTTAATACATTCATTGTAGAATCTTTGGAAAATTAAAAAAAGAAATTCAATAGTCTACATGTTATCCTTAAATAGAATTTTTTTTTTTTTTTTTTGAGACAGGGTCTTACCCTGTCACCCACGCTGGAGTGCAGTGGCATGATCATGGTTCACACTGGCCCAGGTGATCCTCCCACCTCAGCTTCCTGAGTAGCTAGGTCTGCAGGCATGTGCCACCATGTCCAGCTAATTTTTTTTTTGTAGAGACAGTGTTTCCTCATGTTGCCCAGGCTGGTATTGAACTTCTAGGCTGAAGTGATCCACCTACTTTGGCCTCCCAAAGTGCTGGGATTACAGGCGTGAGCCACCATGCCGGCCCCCACATGGCAGTCTTAGCAGCATTTTAGAATGGGAACATCCTAAATAGAGCTCATTTCCATTCCCAAGACTGCTCCCCAACTATAGTCTCTTTCTCAGTGAATGGCTCCATCCTTTCTCCAGTTGCTCAAACTAGAGTTCTGATGTTATCTTTGACTCTTCCCTCTGCCATATTTCTCATGCCCAGTCAAGCAAGACCCATCAATTTTATCTCTTGAATGTCTTCAAATCCATTTATAGTTGACCCCTGAACAACACAGGTTTGAACTGTGGGGATCACTTTTCCGTGGATGTTCTTCAACCAATCGCAGAATGAAAATACATTATTTGCAGGATGTGAAACTCACTCACAGAGAGGGCATATACGCAGGTTCTGCAGGACTTGAGAATGCATAGATTTTGGTATGGGATTGGAGAGTTCTGGAACCAATCCCCCACAAATATGGAAGGTGTGGAAGGACAACTGTACTTTCTCTTCTTTTTCTTTTTTCTTTCCTTTTTTGAGACGGAGTCTTTATTGTCACTCAGGCTGGAGTGCAGTGGTGCGATCTCGGCTCACTGCAACCTCCTCCACCCAGGATCAAGCAATTCTCCTGTCTCAGCTTCCTGGGTACCTGGGACTATAGGCATGCACCACCATGCCCAGCTAAATTTTGTATTTTTAGCAGAGATGGGGTTTCACCATGTTGGCCAGGCTGGTCTCGAACACCTGACTTCAGGTGATCTGCCCACCTCGACCTCCCAAAGTGTTGGGATTACAGGCTTGAGCCACTGCGCCTGGCCTGTACTTTCTATTCTTATTGCTTCCGTGCTAGTTTGAGTTCCTCTCTTTCTCGCCAGGTCAGTTCAACAACCTCCTAACTAGTCTTCCTGACTCCATGTTTTGCCCCATTCCTTTCCATTCTTCATACTACAGCCAGCCTCCTCTGTAAACAGGCACATCTGAGTGTGTCACCCCACCACCCCTCTATGACATAAACCCTTTGACAGAGGGTAATCCTAAGGACAAAGTCTCAATTTCTCAATGTGACCTTCAAGGATCTGCATTTTGTGTTATTCGCTTCCTCTCTGGTCGGTTTTCCATCAGCCCCACCCCCACCTCTTTCAGTCACACTGAGCTCATTGTACTATCTAAACAACCCTTCTCATCTCCCAGGTTTTTATGTGTAATTCTTAAAATGTTTCTCTTTTCCCCTTCCAGGCTAACTGAAACTCATTTTTTGGATTTCACGTTAGAGATATGAATCTTTCTTAAAGCCTTTCCTGAGTTTTAGGTGCTCCCAAGGGCCAACAGAGCACCCCCACCAAAAGTCTTATCATGCTTTATTGTCAATGCCTGTTTGCTAAGGATTGTAAGCCCCGCAAGGAAAGGAACATGTCTGGTTGATAAAATCATTTCCCACACCTTGCACAGTGTTCAGCACAAATAGACAAACAGTTACCAAATAGATGATTGGGATTCCAACCACTGCTTGTGGGGAAAAAGTGGTTCAATGACATGGTCTGTCCTGAAACATTAAATTTTCCATCCTTGCTGGGCATGGTGGCTCACGCCTGCAATCCTAGCAGTTTGGGAGGCCGAGGTGGGTGGATCACCTGAGGTCAGGAGTTCAAGACCAGACTGGCCATCATGGTGAAACCCCGTCTTTAGAAAAAAAAAAAAAAAAGAAAAGAAAGAAAGAAAGAAGAAAGAAAGAAAAAGAAAGAAAGAAAGAAAGAAGGAAAGAAAGAAAAGAAAAAAAAGAGAAAGAAGAAAAAAAATTTTTTTTATCCTCATATTCTTTTTTTTTTTTTTTTGAGACCGGGTCTCGCTCTGTTGCCCAGGCTGGAGTGCAGTAGTGTGATCTTGGCTCACTGCAACCTCTGCCTACTGGGTTCAAGTGATTCTCTTGCCTCAGCCTCCTGAATAGCTGGGACTACTACAGGCACGAGCTACTGTCCCCCACTAATTTTTGTATTTTTAGTAGAGACAGGGTTTCGCCATGTTGGCTGGGCTGCTCTTGAACTCCTGACCTCAAGTGATCCACCCACCTTTGCCTCCCAAAGTGCTGGGATTACAGGTGTGAGCCTCCAGGCCCAACCCCCTCACTTTTCATCATAAAGAAGAATATTCATAGAGCACTTTATTGGGGGCCATGCTATTTTCCAGGGATAGAGAAAGAAGCCAAACCACTTCCTTCTTTCTTCTGCTGAAATGATATTTAAATAAGGTCATTTTCATTTGTTTCCTCCTTTTTTTACAATGGTGATTAAAACTGATGGCCAGGCTCGGTGGCTCACTCCTGTAATCCCAGTATTTTGGGAGGCCAAGGCAGGTGGATCACAAGGTCAAGAGATCGAGACCATCCTGGTCAACATAGTGAAACCCCATCTCAACTAAAAATACAAAAAATTAGCTGGGCATGGTGGCTCGCGCCTGTAGTCCCAGGTAGTTGGGAGGCTGAGGCAGGAGAATTGCTTGAACCCAGGAGGCGGAGGTTGTAGTGAGCGGAGATCACGCCATGGCACTCCAGCCTGGGTAAGAAGAGCGAAACTCCCTCTCAAAACAAAAAACAAAAAAAAAAACCCTGAAATCACTTTTCTAGGGATTGGTACATAAAAGCCCCAAGGACTAATCCCTGACATTAAGCAACACTGACCTCAGGGGGATAGGGTTTCCTGGCTATCCTTGATATTTGTTGACAATTTGCATCTAGCCCTTCATTAGGTGCCTGGAAATGTTAATGCAAAATTAGCATCACTTAACAATGGTACTTGTTTAGGGATTGTTTTTAAAATTTTTGAGCTGGTCACTTTTTCCCATCTCTAGTAATTAAATGAATAATAAACTATTCTTTTGGTTTGCTTGTGGGAATGCAATTGCTACTATGTACTGGGTAAAAGGACGGCATTGTGGGGCACAGTGAAGTGATTATTTATGAGTTAGTGGAATTTTCAATGGTTTCCTGGAGCAAATAGATGTTTAGATGTCTGATATTTCCAGTGTATCTGGCAGAGGCTGTAAATAATTGTATCTTACACACCTGATGTTTGTGGTTGCCATCCAGGGTGCCCTGTACCACATGTATCATAGAACACTATGCAGACACCTAGTGGGGGCAGCCAGGCTCCCTGGATTAAGTCACTCCATTTCCATCTTCAGATAAAGGAAACTACCATGAAAAGCTTCTTAATTAAACCACCATTCAGACCAAAGAGAAAGGTGTCAGTATGGTCAGTGCTATAGTCAGGATCTGAACTGAAAGCTGAACAAACAAAATTAATATCCTGAGCCAAACCAAAATATTATTTTTATTTGGTTTTAATTTTTTTTTTTTTTTGAGACAGAGTCTTGCTCTGTTACCCAGCCTGGAATGCAGTGGCTTGATCTCGGCTAACTACAACCTCCGCCTCCCAGGTTCAAGCGATTCTCCTGCCTCAGCCTCCCGAGTAGCTGGGATTATAGGCATGCTCCATCATGCCTGGCTAATTTTTGTATTTTTAGTAGAGACAAGGTTTCACCACGCTGGCCAGGCTGGTCTTGAACCCCTGATTTCAGGTGATCTGCCCATCTCAGCCTCCCAAAGTACTGGGATTACAGGAGTGAGCCACCGCGCCCGGCCTATTTGGTTTTATTTTACTAGATCTCAGTTACTTTTTATTCTTTTTTTTTTTTTTTTGAGACAGAGTCTTGCTCTGTTGCCAGGCGCCAGGCTGGAGTGCAGGTGCAATCTCAGCTCACTGCAACCTCCACCTCCCGGGTTTAAGCATTTCTCCTGCCTCAGCCTCCCGAGTAGCTGGGACCACAGGTACACGCCACCATGCCCAGCTAATTTTTGTAAATTTTGTACATAATTTTTGTATTTTTTAGTAGAGATTGGGTTTCACCATGGTCTTGATCTCTTGACCTCGTGATCCGCCCACCTTGGCCTCCCAAAGTGCTGGGATTACAGGCATGAGCCACCATGCCCGGCCTACTTTTTATTCTTAAACACAAAAACTCATTCAGTGGAATCATGTAAACTCAAAATTGGATCGTCAAACTTATTCTTTTCCTTAGAAATGTTTGAATTGTGATAAAATTGAAATATTCAAATGTTCATAAATGGAGCCTGAAGAGTTGTTTTATGTGAAATTGTTGAAAGAGTTGTTTTGGTTATAACTGAAGACAAATGACCCTTTAGAAATTTGAATTTCTCTGGGGTCTGCTGCTTACCTGTTTGTGAGTATTATCAAGAGAGGTGTCAAAAGTCTCCTCATCCTAAACTGCGATGCCAGAGTTCCCAGGCAGGACCTGCCAGGAGGTATGAACCAATTAGCCCATTATCCCTTCTAGACTTCAAATCAACTGGTTGTGAGGTTGCGAAGTTGAAAAGTTGATGGAGAGAACTTTCCCTGGGGAAAGTTGGACCGCTGTGGCCTTTACCCCTGGTTCTCCAGAGACGTTTCAAGTCCTCCCCCTGCCCTGACTTCCCATCCACCACCAACTTCAGCCACAGAGAAGGTTTCTAAGAGATTACCATCAGGAGAGACTCACCTGTGAGTAAAGACGGTGTCTCAGGAGCAGGCTGCAAGAGTGTATATTTCCTGCACGCCAAATAGGAACCAGTATCATCTTAAAATGAATCTTGCCCAAGAAAACTTCCAGAACAGAGAACGGGCCCCAGAAGAAGCATGAATAGTCGGAATCTAGTGATTAATGACAGATGCAAGCTGCCAGCCCAAGGAGAGGAACTGTTCCCAGCACGGGTGATTGAGTGAGACTGAAGTGGAAATTTTGCCCGGGATTTTGTCAGTGCGTTGTCAGCAATCCTCCCTATTTTTAAAACTTACCCTAGTTTTGTTAGTAACTGCCTCTTTCTGCTTCGGTGTCTCACTTATTGCTTATTAACTGGAAAACCTTAAGAGAAACCACGCCCAGCCAAGATGATCTTTAAGAAGTTCCATTGGAGGCCAGGCACGGTGGCTCACGCCTGTAATCCCAGCACTTTGAGAGGCCAAGGCAGGCAGATCATTTGAGGTCAAGAGTTGGAGACTAGCCTGACCAACATGGTGAAACCTCATCTCTACTAAAAATGCAAAAATATTTAGCTGTGTGTGGTGGTGCACGCCTGTAATCACAGCTACTAGGGAGGCGGAGGCAGGAGAATCGCTTGAACCTGGGAGGTGGAGGTTGCAGTGAGCCGAGATCATGCCACTGCACTCCAGCCTGGGCAACAGAGTAAGACTCTATCTCAAAAAAAAAAAAAGAAGTCTCATTGGAGAAAGAAGCATTGCTGCACCTGGCACCTGCAGGGCACTGATGCCAGAGCACAACTCTGCTGGCCTTGTAAGACTGTACCCTTCTCTCTTCTCTCCTCGCTCCTTGGGTCTGACCCTGAGGGTCTAATCATTGGCTAGTGAGTTGTAGAGGAGGGGAATAGGGGAGAGAAGCCGCCAAACATACCTGGTCCTCCACTGCTGGGCTCCAAGCCTGAAGCAAACCTGAGCTAGAAGTTAAGGTGAGAATAAGGTTGGAGTTTTATATTAAACTGTCAACTTTCAAAAAAACAGACTATTCCTAGGCCTGGAAAAGCTACGGGACCTTCCTGAGATTGTGTCTACAGCCTGGAAAAAAGATCTATGGAGTAAGTTTACCATGGTGTGATGGGCAAGATTAAAATTGTTTCCATGTTCATATTCTGCTGAGATCAGCTTCTTCCAAAAATGGGTTACATATAGGTTTTGGAATGTTTGTTTAAAAAAAGTGTGACAATACTTTATGGCTTCCTTTTACATGTATGTGTTGTCTACACACGTATCATATATACATAATCATAGACTTTCACAGCTGGAAGGATATTAAATACGTTCTGGTCCAACATACTCATTTTATAAACGAGGAAAATGAACTCTCAAGATCTCTTTCAGTTCTAAAGTTTGAGGATTTTATGGTCTTGACAACTACTCACAGAAGACCTTGAAAGAAATCATACTAGACACTAGGGCTAGACATTAGAGTATTTTTTTTTTTTTTTTTTTTTTGATACGGAGTTTTGCTCTTGTTACCCAGGCTGGAGTGCAATGGTGCGATCTCGGCTCACCGCAACCTCCACCTCCTGGGTTCAGGCAATTCTCCTGCCTCAGCCTCCTGAGGAGCTGGGATTACAGGCACGCGCAACCATGCCCAGCTAATTTTTTGTATTTCTAGTAGAGACGGGGTTCACCATGTTGACCAAGATGGTCTCGATCTCTTGACCTAGTGATCCACCCACCTCGGCCTCCCAAAGTGCTGGGATTACAGGCGTGAGCCACCACTCCCGGCCTGACATTAGAGTATCTTAAAACAGAGTCAAGAGGCAGGTGTGGTGGCATGTACCTATAATTGCAACTACTCTGGAAACTGAGGTAGGAGGATCCCTTGAGCTCAGGAGTTCAAGGCTGCAGTGAGGCACCCAGCCTGGGGGACAGAGAGAGACACTGTCTCTTAAAAAATAAAACAAACAAAAAAAAACAGTCAAGAATCAAGAATTCTCTGGCTCAGGGAAGGCACTCAGGATACTAGCTGGCTCATTGCTCCTGCAGGACATAAAAGAGTGATTGCTTTTAAAAGAAAAATTAGACTGGGGTCCCTGCCAGCCTAAATAACTGCAGTGCTTGACCAAGAGCCAAGCCTAGGAAGCTAAAGAGAGTTCAAAGATTGCCCTTGTTTTAGACAAGATCATTTCTATTCACCTTCAGAGAACATTTAGGTCCAACCCTGTCAAGGGATTTAGGCTTGCAGGCTTCTCAGATGCCAGTGTTTTCATGGAGCCTTGGCTCTGGATACCTTGGTTTTTGTCCCACCCCCGTGGCAGAGGTGAATCAGAAGGATCTTTCAAGCACCTCTAGGCAGGAAAACAGAGTAGGCAATAGCCGCACCCCATTCGTCTTCTCCTTTTCTTCTGAGTTCTCCATTTAATAGTATCAAATTGCCTCTCTCCTACCGCTCATAAGCCATTTCCATGTGTGTTATTACAGTGGCCGGCCGGATGTGGGAAGAGAGGGACATCTCCCAGTACAGCCTGGCAAGCATTCTGTGGTTGATGGGGCAGCAAAGGTCCTTATAGGTCCCCTTTCCCCACCCTTTCTCCTCTTGTGTTCCCAATGGTCACAACCCTGAGTAACAGCAGTGACTCAGTGGTTCAAACATCAAAGAGGCAATTGTCTGGAGCTGAAAGTGTGTCAGGGCCTTGGATATTTAGGCAAACACTGAGAGCAGTGAGGAGTGTGTGGAACTTGGCCTGGAGAAATCCCCCAGGCAAAATGCGTGGATGGAACACAACTCAGCCTCTCACTGACCTCTCTGCAGCTGGGAGACGGAAGGAAAAGATGGCTGGAACACAGAGATCCCTGCCTAAGTCTTGGGGATCCCCCCTGACAGTTTCAGGTTGTCTCCACCAGGAGACACACTGTTGTTGACCATCCCTGGCTAACATGCCTCCTCAGCCCCCAAGACGGTAGATTCCTCCCTCACTAGCCCAGCTTGCTTGTCTCTAAGAATTCCAAAGAGGCGTCAGCTCTACAACAAAGCCAATAACCACTCTGATGTTTTGCTGAGATTCTCCTTCACACTTACAGATGACAAGGAGCTTTTCTAGAATAAAAAAGAGATTGTGATAAAAACTTTCTTCCCTTAGAATGCGAGGTGATGCAATGACTGAATCAATGGAACGATGCCTGTCTGTTTATTCTCACGGTGTTCTAGTTATCTCCCGTCGTAATTCCAGTCCTAATTTCTTGCTCTAAAGCATACTGATTAAAATCATCTTTTAATAGAATCATTATTGACCCCGGCCATTGTATTAATCAGAAGTAGTAACTACTGCAATAACTTTTATTTTATTTTATTTTTTGAGATGGAGTCTCGCTCTTGTCTCTCCGGCTGAAGTGCAGTGGCGTGATCTTGGCTCACTGCAACCTCCGCCTCCTGGGTTCAAGCAATTCTCCTGCCTCAGCCTCCCGAGTAGCTGGGACTACAGGCTTGTGCCACTATGCCCGACTAATTTTTGTGTTTTTTTTTAGTAAAGATGAGTTTTTACCATGTTGGCCAGGCTGATCTCGAACTCCTGACCTCAGGTGATCCACCCACCTCGGTCTCCCAAAGTGCTGGGATTTCAGGCACAAGCCACGACATGGCCTGTAATACTTTAAAACTCTTACTGGTTTAATACTAGATAGTTACTTCTTGAAAACGTTAAAGTCCAATTGGTTGCTTTGCAACTGGACTCAGACGGCTTATGCTTAGTGTTTCTACCATCTTTGGGGGCCTCAGAGTCCTCTACTCAGTCCTCTGCATCTGACCTCCCAAGAGACAGCTTGTGAACGATGCTGTCAGAGGTTTTAGGGAAGCCAGGCACATCACAGAGACTCACATTCAGATTCAGTCCCTGCCAGATCGCTTTGAGCTCAGAAGTTGGAGACCAGCCTGTGCAACATGGCAAAACCTCATTTCTACTAAACATACAAAAATTAGCAGGTGTTGGTGGCTCACGCCTGTAGTCCCAGCTACTTGGGAGACTGAAGTGGGAGAATCACTTAAGCCTGAGAAAAGGAGGCTGCATTGAAACCAGATCACGCCACTGCAACAACCCTGTCTCAAAAAAACTCAAAAGACAAAAACAAGAAAAGAATCAGCCCGTGCCTTGCCTCAATGTAAAGTTCTGCCATGTGCTGACCAAGAAGAGGAGGAACCCATGGTTTTGGTGAGCTCTGTCCTGCTGGCAGCCCACCTACCTGGGTGAAGCAGTATACACAGGGATGACGAGTCTAGGGTCTAGAGCTGGACTGCTTGGTCTGGAATCCTGGCCCAGACACTTCCTCATCATGGGACCTTCTTTGTAAACTGGGCACGATAATGTTACTTACCCGAAGTGTTGCTGCGAGGGTTAAAGAAGACTCCTGTAAGTCCTGAACTTAGAGCCGTGGCTGCACATAGTGAGCACCTGAGAAACACTAGCTATTTGGGGTGAATGTGAAGCCCTTAGACTAAGCCCTGCAGCGCAGAACCTCAGCTGTTATTATTCCTCCTTTCCCTTATTTATGACTTCAACTAAACCCCCCCTCCTTTTTTTTTTGAGACAGGGTCTCACTCTGTCAATTAAGCTGGAGTGCAGTGGTGCCATCACAGCTCATTGCAGCCCCCACTTCCTGGTCTCAAGTGATCCTACCATCTCAGCCTCCCGAGTAGCTGGGACCACAGGTGTGCACCACCACACTCAGATGATTTTTTGTATTTTTGTAGAGACAGGGTTTCATCATGTTACCCAGGCTAGTCTCAAAGTGGTCTGGGCTCAAGTGATCCACCCACCTCAACCTCCCAAAGTGTTGGGATTACAGGCGTGAGCCACCACGCCTGACCTTAAAACCTTGTTTTTTTATGTTCAGGGTCCTCCATCTGCTTCTTTTCTTTCCTGTTCTCTTTACTGCAGGTGTAAGTATCTGGTTCCATTCCCGATTTTGTTTCTTTCTCCTCCCTCATACACCCTCTGGCTGTGAAAGTCTTCCTGTCTTAGGCCCCACCCTGCGCCTCCATTTCTCTCTCCTCTATCAAATACCTCCTAAAAATTTCCTGTTAATGAAACTTTGTTCTTATTGCTCATTTAGAGAATCTCTCTAAATGAAATGGAGTGTTTCCCTCTGCTTTTCTATTCTCCCCCCCTTACATTGTATCAATTCTCACAGGGAATAAAACCTAGGAAAATCAGGGCTCTTAGCAGCAGCAACCCCAGTAATTGAGAGGCAGGTTTTACTGAGTCTCTGGGATACTGACCAGACACTCAGAAAATAGAACCTAAGATACTTAACAGTTT